CGATGAAACGAACGAAAAGTTAGAAACGTGCGAACAGGACAGACGATAGTCGACGACGTCTGGGAAGAAACTGTTGCGGGTAAGATGAACGTGAAGGATGAACAAAGAGGGTGTAACTGGAACAAGAAAGAAAGAAGAAAGAAAAGAGGGAGAGAGAGAGAGAGAGAGAGAGAGAGAAGAGAAGTGGCAACGAAACGAAAGAGGAGGGTGGATATTCTTTGTGATGGGATTTGAGAAGGCGAACAAGGAGAGACGTTCTTGACTCAATGCTGTCCTTAAACCACGAAAAAGCTCGAGAGGTCCGAAAGCCAAGGGCTGAGTTCGCGGAAATGAAGACCCGCGGTGGTAGCCTTGTCGCTCTTGTTCTTCACCTTCTCTCGTCTTCGACGGAGGAATGCGCCAGCATCCAACCACCCGACCGCAGTTTTACCTTTTCGTATGTTCGTTCGTTTCCATCGCCTTTCGTCGACCAGCTTTGAACGAGTTTCCGAAATAATTTCCACCGCTGAATGAGCTTGATTCTTGAGCCATAGGAGACTCTAGGTCCAGGGGAGTGGCGTTAATTGCTACCCGAAGCTTCAATGGCTGGGTATGTTTCTCTGATTTTTCTCTCCTCCTGTTTCTTATCACAGTTTTCTTTATTTTCTTGATGTACAGTGAAAAGCATAATTAAATTAAGATAATCGCAGCTTTTAGATAAATCCGTGGCCACCGTTAACATTAAAATACACGTGAGACGAGTGTAATAGAAACACTCTGAGTAATTAAAACAGCATTTTTTTAATACCGCATTTTTTTACAATTGTTTTTATTAATAAGAAATATTCATTTGCAAACTTTACACACTGTTTTCACGATTAAATTTTTCCAGCTTTAATGAATATTTTGGTTTATGGCTTTGTTTCGCTAGGTTTTAGGTTTATTTATTATTTATTTTGTGCAAAACTTCAGGATGAATTTTGTTTCGTCGTTCTTTAGTTTTTCTCAAGGATCGATGTTGATAGACGTTTATAAAACGTTTAATATTTTCATTTTAAAAGTTCTCAAAAAATTTCCAATTGTAATTGCCATCTGAACTTTGCGCCGGCCATACTAACAAAACAAATGTTTAATGTCACAACCTTTTTCTAAGAAAGTGACATATTTTTCACTATATCTAATTAATTATTCTTTACATGTACTGGTTCATTAAATCGTTCAAGTCAACACAACAATTTTAATCGTGTCATATATTTTTGACGAGCAAAAAAGAGTTTGCAAAATTCGAATCATTAGGCAAATAAGTATTAACTTAATTAACTAACTAAAGTCTTATAACGATTTACATTAGAATATCGAGTTAATCAAATTGGCTTCTGAAATAAACTATTTATTATTCATAGGCCAAAAAAAACATGGTCAAGTACTTTGACACTAAAGTTTAAAAAGATATCAAGAAGTGAAGTTAATCCATTTGAAAAGTGAGTGGCTTGTATGTTTCTGCCAGTCAAATTCGCTCGAACGAGGGATAAAAAGATAATTTATTATCTCGTTAGTCGAGAATGATGATTACTTCGTACGAAATTGTGATTAGTCCGAAGGAACGATCGCGGAGTTAAATCGGCTAAATGAAATTACGGCCGCCAATTAAAACGAGTCGAAGAGCGATACAAACTGCACCACGAAGATCAAAGCGGAAACTGAAGAAACACACCGGCTACATATTCATCAGTTTCCATCGACCCAAGCCCGTCTCCTGTTGGCCGAAACAAAAATCGATATTCGCATCCAATCAGTCCAATTTACCGAGACATCCGACGACACGATCGACAAAGTCATCCCTTTAAATCGTCTCGCGTTCCCCGTTGATCGTTAAGCTCTTCCGTTCTTTTTATATTCGGAGCTTGATGGCGCAAACTTCAATTTGTTGCCGCGCGAACGTTCCGAAATTCCTCGATTTGCTCATCGTTTTTCTCGGGGCGGAAACCTAGGCGACACACCTCTTGCGAGAAAAACCGTTGGCTGCACGCGAGCGACGACCTCGAAAATTGGATTTACCGGTGAATCGATAAGCCGTCTCATAAATCTGTCCATTATCGTCCCGTAAAGTTCCGCATACGAGCCGCGGGACTGACGCAGTTCCGCGCCTATAGATTGTTCGCGATCAAGACGATCCAGGGATTGCCCAGGAGAAAACGAACGAGCAGAATTCCCGTCGGAATTTGTTTCGTCGAATCGGTAAATCGAAGTTTATATTGTACAAGGTGCGAAAGATATTTAATCCTGACTCGACCGACTTATATGAAGTGAAATAATACAGTGAAAAACTGAACCAATATCTAACGACTTGAAAAAAAAAAAAAAAATTGTCTCAAAATTGCTCTCATTTTAAAGCGTAAACTTTCTACTTTCGACAGTTCCGAGCTCGTTTGATTCAAAGATGATTTTGCATCGTGTAGCGAGTATGAAAGTAAGGACACTTTTTGCTCGAAAATTGTAAAAGTACGAACACTTTTTAAAAACGAAGAACAAGAAGTTTTTCTTCGTGATTTCATCAACTCACTTCACGATCAAACCGTTATTTTAAAGATTGAAGTCTCCCTTGTATAATAATGACTTGAATAACAGGATTATTTTGAATGTTAGAGGCAGAAATTCAAGAAATTCTAATATTTTGTCAAATGTTCAAAGTTCAAATAGCAAGGAAAAAATCATATGGCAAATTTTAAGGGGTTGTTGTAAGAGGGGATTTTAAACAATTTTCAAGATCATGATAGTCATGCAAATAATTTAGGGACAAATTACGACAAAAAAAATATACTGTGAAATTATCTAAAAATCACGAACTCAAAATTCAAAGTAGAGACTTTGTGCCTGCATTGTTATATAATTTTCTTCACGAAGATATAACAATTTAAATTATCAACAATTTTTCAATTGGTTTATACTCCACATTTTTTGGTCTTTCTATACTTATTTAACACATTCGCATTTATTGACACTTTGTAGAATAAAGATTATAAAATTATTTCAAGTTTTTTTCCTGCTTGGTAGTTTATTTTCAAGCAAATATGCTCAGAATTTGTTTGTAGCTTGCAACCATCAGAGTGTCGCATCATTACTTTTTTTATATTTCAGTTTTTTCATCAGTTAAAAATTGCTTTTTACTAATGTGAAATGACATTATGGTTTTCTTTATTAAAGCTGAATTTTTGTAGCGTATTAACATATTAATTTTACATTAATAGATGTTAACTAACAAAACCACAACCATTTTGGATTGGGATTACTCGATTTTAGAGCTTTTCATTTAATTTAATTTTATCAGTAATCTCTATCATGGAGAATGTAAAATATGAAATAAAATTAAATGCTATAAATTTTAGTAATTTAAAGTAAATTGTAGTCGTATTTGAAGATTAATATAAAATTTAGCAAATTGGTAAATTTTAGTAAAATTGCACAGAATATTCGAAATGTAGTGCTTCCTACGTTTAATATGTGTTTTATATTTCATACTCTCGAAAATACAAATTTACACAATGACGACTCAGCGAGAAAACCAAGAAAAAAAGCTTACGAGATCACGTTAATTGACGTCAATGGTAACCAGAAACTGAATTCGGAATGAAGTGAATTCAGCAGCCACGACGGGTGTGTCAATAGCGAAATTTTTTTCTTAAAGTCCCCTCTCTTTCTCCCTCGGCCCGTAGAGGTTCCGCTATCAAATTTCAGAGCCTCAAACGTCAGGGAAAAAAGGAAAGAAAAGAAAGAAGAAAAGCAAAAAGGAAAAAAATGCAAATGAAACACGGTATCTGAGAGATCCACAGGTCGGTGAAAGCGCGATCGGAATATTGGTTGATTCGCAGCGAAGCGGCAGCGAATTCGCGATTCCGAATCGGCGGTGAGAATTCAGAGGCGGCGAGGGTGTCGAAAGACGCATGAGTCGAACGTTAACTCGTCGTCTGGCGTCTTTCTCTGGTTCTTCCCTCCGTCTTCCGTTTCCCTTCGGCTTTCCTCCACCGCGTTTCTCCGCTATCCTCGGCTCTCTCGCCCCTGTTACTTTCGTCTGCTCGTTCCCTAGCTGCACAGTCCCGGCCTGGACCGAGGAGTGCATTAAAATAAATTAATTTTCATGAGATTTTCCCGTAGCGAATGGCCGTTACGGGACTTAAAATAATAATTCAACGAGCCGCATGGGCGGAATTTGCATTTCCACGTCACGGCACGCTTCTACCAGCCAGCCAGCCAGCCAGCGACGATCTTCAACAGCGTAACGGAAGTCGGAATAGAATTCAGAAGGCAGCAACGCCGGTTGAATGGAAGATGGGAACAACGTGGAAAAGCGAACGGCGAGGGCCACCGAACGCGTCTGGAGAAGCGAGAAGCTGCTTGTTTATTGGGGAAACAGATACTCGTCGACTTAAGAGAAGATTCGTTTAAGCGGCAGAAATATTGCGGATTTATAAGTAATTGCTGAGTGAAATTTCTTTTTTTTTTTTCTATATCGCTCAGAGTAAAAAATATTTTAAGATTTAAATTTTTTTACTTAAGATTTTGTTTCGATATTTTATTGATTTCATTTTGTTTCATTGGTTTATTCGGACCCGCTGATTTTAGGCTATTCGTCGAATAAAAAATTCTTGTTACTACAGATCAAGAGTTTTGAAACTTTAGATACAATATTTTTTGGTTCGATTGTGTTTTAAAATAATACCGTGTACTTTTCGCATTGCTTATCTTTGTTGTATATTAACTTTGATGGTCGCTATCATTTATGTTGTTATGTACATCTAAAAGAAAGAAAATTCGAAAGTGAATTGTATATATAAAAGTAACATATGATAAATATATAAATAAATAAAAATATGTAAAAATGATCATCGTGTAAACTATGTCAATATCCACAACAATTCTTTTTCTTCTCGAAAATAAAAAATCGAACGGCTTCTGCCATTTTGTTAAAATAATGTTTTTTTACCTCACTCTAGTTTACACGATAACCATATATAAAACGTTATATACAACAATTATATGCAACGTTATATGCAACAATTTAAATAATATTAATTATTTTTATTATATTCCTGAAAAAGAAGAAGATGAAGACGCTAACCAAATTTATGAAATGATTTGATTATTGTAGAGAAACCAAAAATAACACGAATGCCTTAAAATTTTTATGAAAAACATTAGTAACATAAACTTGTTTATTATTTGAGTTAAGAACATTAATCATGATGTGTACAGAAATTTTTTTGAAAAAGCACATGACTAAAAAATTTCGATTTTTAAATAAATAATGATCATGATGTTTATAAAATATTTTTCATTGCCAATACAATTATTATTGATGAGGAGAATTCTATTTCGGTCGCTTGTAATGGGGGAAATTTATTTCAACTGTTCATAACAGTTATTGATGAGTGAAATTCTGTTTCAGTTCATAACAATTATCGATAAAGGATGGTTCATAATAATACAAAGTATCACTCTGCACTTGACAAAACAATTCTTCGCAATTTTAAAAATCATAAGTTTTCTGATTTCTCACGAGAATTCACGAAGAAGAAAAATCGAAATAAATTTCTCTCATTGATAACTATTATGAGCAACTAAAATAGAATTTTTCTCACTGATAACTGTTATAAGTAACTGAAATAAATCTCCCTCATCAATAATAATTATTAATAGCAACGAAAACAATTTTTTGGTCATTTATGATCGTTATAAGTAAAAATATTTAATTGAAAAAATAATTATTCTATGATTTTTTTGATTTTAGTTATAATAGTTATGATCTCTGGTTGTAATCATTATATTTTGTATATACACACTAATATATTGTACGTATAATATTATGTTAAATATTATATGTAATTATTATAATAATTATATATTATTATATATATTATTTATTTATTTGTTATATTATAAAGATTATATTTTTATATACATGTAAGAAACAAGTATTCAATATTTTTCTGCTATTCTAAAATAAATTATTTTATACATATCAATCGCTGTAGGAAACCACAAAAGGATTTATCTTTTTTTATTCTTTTGAAGAAATTTGACTACTTTTTATTTTTATAGCACATTCAGTATAACTTTTTAATTCATATTTCGAAAATTATTATACCGCAAAGAATTAATAATAATAATTCTACGAAACAATCTAACGAACATAGAATAACAGTCGAGTTTTCAAAAATTATCTTTTTTTTTGTTTGAAACTAAAATTCGATCTTGTTTTGCCAATAAAATGTTCAATTTCGTGAGATAAAAGCCAATTCATATTGTTGATCTGTAATTTTATCTCTTTACGGGTTTTAATAAGAGGAATTATGGTGGAATTATTTGTAAAAGAAGAAAAGCATTGCACTAGGTTTTATTTAAAATCAAATTTAATGCTTCGGATTAAGCAGCTGATATTCTTAATATACTGCTGCTTCGGCAGAAATGTTTTATTGTACTTCAGGATCCCCTTAGAATAATTGAATGTACAGCTACCTCGTCGGAAGTGACTTTTATTCCGGCTAAGATTACTTAATGTTCATAATACATAAATTGCTTTTGCAAAGTACGATTCGCGGAAAATGGAATGTCTGTTTTCTTTCTTATTATTCCTATTTCACTTTCAATTAGACTTAAAATTATTATATGCAATTATGAGTATCTTGTTGGAAAAGCAAGGCACGCCAGACTGAACTTCTAACTTTGAATAAAAAAGACAATCTTTAAAAACCCTCACCCTTTTACAATCACGTGTTAAAAACTTGCTTACATCGTTGTGTATAAATGGACATTTAATGCAATTTCATCGAAAATCAGAAGTTCTGTTACATTTTTAGTTTCATTTTCAATCTGCTGTTAATTTTCTATATTTTACTATAGCTGAAATCAAATGCTCTGCTAAATTTAATTTGAAACAGAGAACATATCTATATTACTTAAAGAAACTACTGTATTCACTTCTAATAAATAGTTGACACACCATACAATTTATACATACTTTTGAATGTGATTAAAGACACATTTCCTTCAAATTCATCAAATTCTTCTAATATCTTAACATTAAACAGATATATTTAACATCATTTAATTAATATAATATTAAATTAATCTTTTGCCATCTTCGATTATTGCTTTTTTAATTAATAACAATATATATATATTACAATTACTTGCAACAACTTAAAACTGTCCAAATATTTATGCACAATAGTGCATATAACATATGATTATACGAATCGTTCAAGCATTGTTTCAAGAAATCTAAACAATATGAATTTTATTTTTGTTGATTTTTAATAAGAATTTTGTTTGAAATTGCAGAATCTAAGCTTATTTTCCGTCCTGTATAGAAAATGTTGTTTCCACGCAATAACGCTTGTTACTCTGGTAAGGTAATAAATTCAATAATTTAAAAAATTAAATAAAGTTTAAAATTCAATTATGATTAGAAAAGAATTAAAATATTAGATATTACTTTATCAATT